CAACAGTTGTTGACGCTTCTGGTACTCGGTAGATAGTTTGTGACCAGAAGATCTGTGAGAGCTCTACTTGGATCTGTGTTAGTGCTTCCGTTGTTGTCTGCTGCTCATCAGTTCTGTATATTGCTGTCAAGGTTGATGATGTTGTTGTGATTATTGCAGCTAAGTCATTTCCCTTGTCACCTGCTGATGTGCTACTTGAAGGAGTCAACGATCTAACTGCTGATGTTAATGATTTTTCAGTATAACTGTTGCGATAAACTACATTTGTCGGTTGATATTGTGTAGTTGAATAGACGTTAGGCAGAGAAATTACCTGCACTTCCGCAGTACTCGAAGGTATAGCTTTCTGTTCTTCAAGGGAACTAATCACAGAAGCGACTTTTGTTGTTGGGTATGGTGCTTGAAGGATAACGGCAGCGCTTGATGTATACCCAGAAAAACTCGTTTGAGAAATCATATGCGCTGGCTGCTCTGAAGAACTCTTCTGAGACTGTGTTGTTATTTGCTGTTGATTTCCGGTGGAAGTGTTTTCAGAAGCAACATTTAACGTTTCTGGTGATGAAATCTGATTGCGTGTAGCCTCAGTTGCGTTGCTTGTGGGATCGTTTGTAACGGCCGCAAGTATTGCTGGTTGATAATGCAGAGTAGTCAACAGAGGCTGCGCCGTTGCTGATTCCTCTGTGTCCTGTGCCCTTGATACAGTTGAGTCGGAGAGCAGAGCTGTATACACTTGATGTACATTAGTTGTTGGGTGTTGGGTTGAACTTAAATGAGACCTTAAATTCGCCGTTGCTTGCGCAGTAATCTGTGTTGAAATGAACCGAGGTCTTGTAAAGAAGAACATCGTGGTGAGAACGTAAAGTCTGCGAATCAGGCAGGCCATGACTCAAAAAATTAGCTGCTTGTCATCAGTTGACCGTTCTGCTACGAAGAAAAAATACTTCATAGTTAGAATTCGAAGGAACTTTCGGCTTTCAGTATAAAACCTTGAAAGACTTATAGGTAAAAGTGCTAGATGAAGAATATGAGCGAATTAAATTGATAATGTAAAACGTATTCAAGGGAACAATAAAGAAAAAGTGGGTGAAATTAAAATAAAAGGGCATTGTTTCGGCAAAGCTCGGATCAATGTTTTCTTCTAGGCATTCAAATCTGGCCATAATACTAGAAGAGTGTTTAAATTTCTTTTCGCCAACTGTCCCTAGCGCTGCATCGGTAGTGCTGAAGAATATCTCCGGATATTAGGCAGGTAAGCCACTCGGTGTTATACAGCTTTTTTTGCAAGTCTGGTAAGCGGCAGGTAATTGCTAGCGCGACCTACAACATGTTCTTGCATTCGAAATCCAGCTGTCCGGGTCAAATGAAATTATGGAAGCAATTCTTTCCTGACCTGTCTAAACACATGAGTCGAGAAAGTTTTCAATGTGTTATCAAAAGAATGATCTCTGAAGTCTAAAGAATAACGTGTAGATACACTAGGATTTCATCTTGTTTCACCAGATAAACGATCATAGAAAATATTTTTGCTCCTTTCTGATTCCAAACTCAGCACAGCTTATCTTCTGAAATTGGATGGGAAAGCTTCTCGTTTATGAAATTATGTTTTACGACATACGTCCCACATTCTTTGTTTAATCATTAGCAATGTTAAGTTATAATTGCCAACAAACAAAAGAGACTTGAAAAAGCAATCGAAGCTAACAGCTTTGACTACTCCATTAAAGTTAAAAAAAAACTATTTTTTGAGCAATTGGTCACCTCCAATGATCCAGCTGTAACGTTAATTATAAAAAAAATGTTTAGGAAGCTGCACCACTAAATGTATACGAGCGTACTGACATTTTAAATTAAGAAAAAGCCCAATTGCAAGGAAGGACACTGTTCAATTATCCATTTCAGTATAGAGGTAATCGACTGGAAATGCGGATCAATTATTCAAAATTAACTGTTTATGAGCCTGGATTAGCAATGAAATTTAAGACAACATCGAGTGGCNTTGTATTTAAGAAACCGTTCAGTGGGGAGTCATCACTAGCTAGCTACATCTAGTATACAGCATATTTCCGCTTATGCCAACACATAACACACAGAGAGTAAAAGTTGCCTTAAGACTGCATAAACTTAAGTGTAATCATTAGAAAGGGACGGTTCCTGAGATTGTATGCCTGCGCCTGATTTTTTTTTGTATGATAGAAAACTTGTCTCAAAACAAGTTTTCTTTTTAAATTAAAAAAAAAAAATGTTCCTTAACTGATGCCACTGGCTCGAGACTGAAAGAGGCATACGGGGTTCAAATTCCCAACCTCCCGCTGATAATTCGGTTGAAGGTGAACCACACCTCCGTGACGTCATTTCTTGCGACAAGAAGAGTCACTTAACATCACTTTCTTACATAACTAGCCTATTCAGTCGGTGACGTAGTGCGGCCATCATTCAAGGTCATCATCATCATCATCATCTTTATTTGCCTTATTTTAACAATTAAAAAAATAGTTAACCAAAGCGATAACAGTTAGAAGGCGAGGAGACCCAAGAAGCCACCAGGCTTATGGGAGAGCCACCTCACTTATAATAATAAATTAAGTAATGAAAAAGTGCTGCGAATGTGCGGCTTGGCCAATTCAGTGATTATTTAATTAAAAACTCTTGCAATTTTGGCTTTAAAGCTGAGAAAGTTTGACGAACGAGTGACTGAAATTGGGAGAGAGTTCCAAATTTTAAGGCCTTGGTAGAGAATTGTAAACTGCTTGGCATTTGTACGGCACAAATGCGTTCGATAATTACTGGCAGTTCTGGTACCATAGTTGTGAATTTGGCTATTCCTTACAAAAACATCGAGAAGCAATGGGGGCAATAAGTTATTTTTGAAATAAAACATAAATTTAGCGATTTCAAACGTATTGACTTGGGAAATATCTAAAATTCCTAGTTTAGAGAATAAAGGGGCAGAGTGGTCTCGATAGTCAGAGTTGGTGATAGCCCGCACAGCTCGCTTTTGCAAATAATAAATTCTATTTAAGTTAGATACGTATGTTGACGACCAGACGGAGTTACAATGGACGATATAAGGAAAAACTAGGGTGTAATACAAAGTGAGTTTGGTTGCAGAGGATAGGGAAAAGCGAGACCTAAATATAATACCTATTGATTTAGTGATTTGTTTACATACATGGCTGATATGGTATTTCCAGGTTAGATGATTGTCAATATAGACCCCAAGGAATTTAGTTACATTAGCTTGTTGTAGGGGTTTACCTCCAAAGGAGAGAGAAATGCTGGAGTTAAATTTCCTCTGTCTGGGTTTAAAAATTATATAGTTGGTTTTCTTTACATTAACTGAAAACTTGTTACATTTTAGCCAAACGCCAATGTTTTAGAGTTCATAATTAAGTATAGATTCTAAGCAATTTAGATTTGAGTGAGAATAAAAGATACTGGTGCCATCAGCGAAAAGTTGAGGGGCTGATAATTCAGAGGCATTAGGAAGGTCATTAATGTATACAAAAAACAATAGTGGGCCTAAAATCGAACCTTGAGGGACACCACACTTGATGGTTTGCATCGGAGAGCAAGCTTGATTGAATTGGAGAAATTGCTAGCGGAAAGAAAAGTAGCTTTTAAACCACTGCAGAACCACGTCACGGATACCATAGTGCTCCAATTTGGCAAACAAGAGTTGGTGGTCGAGAGTGTCGAATGCTTTGGAAAGATCTAGGAAAACACCCACCGTTGTTTGGTGTTGGTCGATTGCAGATGCAATTTTGTTTACCCAATGAATTAGCGCGTGCGATGTTGAGTGATTTTTTTCGAAATCCGAACTGACAGCGGTAAACTATATCGTGTTTTTCGGAAAATTCTACTAAGCGATTGTATATGACTTTTTCGAAAAATTTGGAAAAATTTAACAACGAAGAAATAGGTCTGTAGTTTACAAAAAAGCTAGGATCCTCTGCCTTGAAGATGGGAATGATTTTAGCGATTTTAAGTTTGTCCGGGAAAATGCACGGGAAAAGGTATCGCTTGAAGCTTGATAATTATAATTCTAGAAAATTGAAAAAGGGAAATTCAACAATAAACAAAAAACATGCTTAAATTGTTCTTTGAGCCATCTGTTTTGGTGAGAGGAATAGGCTTGCAATTTGCAAATTTTTACCGAAATGTCACACTCTCCACTGGGATTCGAGCACAGGAGCTCTGCTGTCATAAATGCGTGGAAAACATTCTTATCCATGGATATTAACTGACTAGCTTTTTTAAAAGCCGAGTCAAATGTGTGCAATGTTTAAACGCAGCATGTTGCAACGCTGTTGGATCGTATTGTGAAGGAGCTTAATCATGTTGCAATTGCTGCTAAAGAAATTAAAATTGGCTTCCTATTTTTTAGCTCGTCTAGGTTGCAGTTTTGTTCGCACTTTGCGTGATGTAGTGAAGCAGCGAAAACGAGCAATGAGGCTCTGAGAGGCTGTTTTCGCGGCTCTACCTCCTTCTTTTCCCATTGAGCACTCCCTTAAAAAAAAAGTCATCTTCGGTGGTTATACTTCATTCGCCCCCAATTAGGCTTTCTTTGAAGACGCAGACTTTTTTTCCTGTGGGGCTCTGCCGCATATGATAATTTCTTTTGTTGTTCAACTAGTGATCCAAGCTCTTTGTACATATCTATAGCTAGAACAGGGGGAATAAGAGAATTTTACCGATTCATGGAGTGTTGAAAAGACTTTTATTGCAAAAACTGTGCGGAATGTGTTCAAGAACTTGTAACGAATAAACACGAACAAAAGCACTTGTACGTAATAACCTTTATTTTTGTCGCGTAACGTCTACAACGTAAACATTTTTCTTTTGTTGAGTGCCCAACCTCGTTCCCAGGGCGTTTTTCCCCCCTCAACTAAGGGAAAAGGCCCTGGGAACGAGGTTGTAACTTTTCCGTAACCGTTCCGAATGACCTCGAGATAACTTTAGGTCTAGATCCGATCCGAAGGATTTCAATTTTAATTTTTTATTATTATTTTTTTTTATTTTTTATTTTTTGGAGTGTTTCGTCCTTAGCTGAGAAAGAACTGATAGAAACGAAGGCAAGGGAAACACAAGCTAATTTACGAATGGAAGAAACAAATGAGATGGGATAAACCAGTAGAGGACTGGGAACTAATGTGTCGCTCGGTCGACACGTTGCTTCAAAACATTGCTTCGTCGATTTGATGCATGCAGCGATATGCGGCAACGAACTCAAACATCATTATTTTCTATAGTTTCTCTTTTTATCTGCGTCAGATGCTTTAATCCTTTTGACGAGGGTCAATATGATATAAATTGGGGTGGACCGGTATCACTGCGTGAGGGACAAGTCACAACGGTGAGTCTTTGGCATGATTTCACGCTCGTTTGTTCTGTATAAGAATTGAGCAACCGTTTATAAAATTTACCAGAAAATCTGCCTCTTTCTGTCAAGGTCATAAAAATTTCCGAAAGCAGCAGTTCCAACCTAGTTCATGTAATAGTTAGAAATGTTCACCAACAGATCGTAAGTTCCAAAATCACGGATCGAAAGTGTTTTGAATGTTTGTTAAGCTTTGGATCTGAGCTCAAATAATAGTGATTCTACCGGCATGGAAGCTTTTATCATTTTGAAAATTTTTGGGAGATAATCTTGGGTAATATTTTGTAAGTTGGTGCTTCAAATGATTAGATTTAAGCTAAAAACTGCCAAAAGTTAAGTAAAATTTTCCAAACACAGCATTAAAATTGTCCCATAAATTTCTATTCTTAGTTTGTGAAATACAGAGTAACAGTGTTATTATGTCCCATAATGGCTTTTTGTTTTGCAAAATATATTATTTGATACATTAATTATTTGATATATTTATATAAGTACTTAATCTATCTAAAAGGTATAGAATCGACTGGAAAATTCAAGTTAAATTTGCTAATTTAAACTACAGGGCTCAGGTGTGGTGGCAACTTTTCTCTTTAAAACTATTTCTGGTACAGTAAAAGAAATGCACGCGCTGACACCTGTAGAAAGAAGTTAAATTTTAATCAACTAATTTAAGTTTGTCTCTGTGGCTTTAACGTACATGTAGATGGGTTGTTAAGCTAAGAAATCAAGCAGACTGCTGAAATTTCAAGTAATGTGGCAGAAAGAAGGAGCCTTGGCAATTGGTGCTTCCACTGTCATGCTTAAATACAAAGCAACTACTAGCAAAAATCATGCCGGAGATGCTGCTTTTTTATTCAGCGAATTTAGGTGGCAGCTAGCACTCTGTGAAAACCCAGCATGTATTTATTTATTTTTTTTATTTATTTATAAGCTTCGCCAAAAACAATTTGGCAGGAGAGATCTCACAGAGCTAACATTCCATTAATGAGACTCCTACAATGTATACTATGTATACAATATATACTATGTATAGTAAATGTAGCTAGTTTATCTATATCCTTTGGTACTCTCTTAGCTCACACTCAGAGCTGAGCAATGCTTTGCCTACCAATTCAATTGACATGTAGTGCACATGTCAAATACCTATGGATAAAAACATTTGTCACAGGTACACAGGACAATTACACGTGCATGAATCACACAGTCAAGTAAAAGAAATTTTCAAAATGGTGAAGCAGTCCTTCTACCTGTTGAATGTTCAAGAATTTGTTGATGACACATTTATAAGAGGGGCTACACTCAGTCTTTTCCACTGGTTACTCTTTGAAAAGAGGAATATTAATAAGGTACTTTTTGCATAGTAAATAAAAATTCACATAATGTTTGAATAAAGGCTGTGGTCTAGCAGTGCCCCGTGGCCCCTGACGTCTTACTTTTGCTCTTGGGCAACTCAGGAATTTTCATAAAAAGCATATTCTGGGCACCCTGGATTTCACAGTGTCAGAGCACTGGGCTCCATTCAATTTTCCCTAGAGCACAGCCTTGGTTTGAATAAATAAAAGATGAGTTGAAGGAATTTCTACATGATTTCAGAATGGCGAGGATTATCTAAGCAATAGAGAGTCAGTGATAATGATAACGAAGGATAACGAGAAATACAGATGTATATTACCTAAAGATGAAACACTAAATGAGGTAAGTTGATTAATTATTAACGTTGAACAACCTGTTACCTCTTTGTGAACCACTCATCGTGATTTAACCAGATGATTTGGTTTTGTGAACTGAGTTGATACTGTATATTGGCCACAGTAAAGGGTCTCTAAAACTGATGTTTCAAGCACAAGCCCTTTGTAATTTACTATGATGTAGAGCTAAATCATGACAGGACAGAAAACAACAGCACTGTAAGTATCTTCTGTTGTCCCATACAAACCCTTAGTATGTCTTTGTCTTTGTATGGGACAACAGGAGGTACTGACAGTGCATGCATTTTCCTTCCTGTCATGGTAGTAATTGGATTGTTCAAAGAAATATGCTGACTTTTTAATTTTATTTATTTGGAGAAAAAATATCTCTACAATGAACCAGATCCAGGGATACTTTTGGAGTCTCTACTAAGGAGGGGAGAGTGCTCATACAGGGTGAGTTCAACTCCTTTTTGAACTCTGTTTCTAACTTTTTTTAATGGCTGAACAAATTAATGTACATGTCAAACAGTTTGTTAAAACAAGCTTACATCAGCATCACAGTGAGGCATACTGTAGTGCATCTCTACTGCAAATACTCTGTAAGAGTAGGGATGGCACAGCTGTGAGAGTACTGATCCCACCACTTTGGCCTGGGTTTGATTCCCAGACCTGGCCTCACTTGTGGGCTTAAAGTTTGTTGTCAATTCTTGTCCACACTCGGAGGGTTTCCTCCTGGTTCTCCAATTTTCTACCCTTTCAAAAAAAATAACATTCCAAATCCCAATTTGATGTGGAAACCATGCTCAAGAAGAGCCACCAAGTGGAATGTCCAGTGGTAAATTCTCATTTTTATCTTATTAAATTTTATCTAAGATCTACTGGTGCTTTTAAAGGTGCAGGGCTAATTTTTGGTCACCTTGTTTGAGTGAAATTAACAGTGGTTCAGCATGGTCTACCCTCATATCAACAACCGTGCTCTTCATCGCAGTAGTCAAAATGTTGTGAACTAACTCAGCTGCGTCTCTTGAATCCACAACGACTGTGTTGATGAAAATCATTGTTGATAAGAGTACAAACCACTGTTGATTTTTTTTTTTTTTTTTACCAAAATATTGATTAAAGCAATTCATTCAGTGCATGGCACATACAGGACAGTGTGGCATGACACGTTGATGTGAGCAGTGTTGTCTGTACTCCTATCAACAATAGCAACATTATATGACTTGTCAGTGCTCAAGATTGTGACCTGTTTGGGGTCCAGTGACTGTTACTAACGGTTAATGACAGGTGACTGACTGAAAGTTCTAGTCATCACCCGTGAAACTAGATTATTGTTATACAGTATGTTTTTAAAAAACAAAGTTGAACAAGTGAAGTTCAAAAGTACCTTGTATTGTTTAGTTTTTACTTTTGTCTTGAGAAAAAAAAAAAGAGGAAACTTGCTCAAACAAAGTATTTTGGCATTGAAAGCTTACCTCTCTTTCACACACAGTTTATTCATATTCATGTATTATACAGTACACTGTAATAGCCAAATATTTAGTACTTACAGTTAAATTCAGATGCAGATCACAAGATCTGACTGATAATTTTCCCATTTAAGCAGCTGCAGATTTCCCTGTCAATTAGTTGGTAGAATTTGTTCTTAGATCGAGATGACAACTTCTACCTGAAGTTTGAGTACTCTCGTGACCTGTTTGTTGGACACTGTTTGAATATTTAAGGAGAAGTTACACTTCTATCACTCTTGGGAGTAACAGTGTAAAATTGGCAACAAAAAAAAACTTAAGTGCTTGCAACCATTTTCTGCCACAAAGGTGCCAAAAGGAACTCAAGAAGTTTTTTTTGATTCAAGCCCTGCTTATAATGTTGNCTATTACTATTACTATTCCCTGAATCTTATCGCAATTTTTTCGGGCCTCTCAAGTTTCGTATCCAGCGAAACGAAATGTACTGCACTTTCAACCAGATAGAGATTTGTCCGGTGGTTAGAGTTAACCACCCTTAAAACAACGGGGGCCTGATCTGTCACGTTCGACAGATCCCACTTTTTTGCTTTTTAAGGCAAGTTTAGATCACCGAAATATCTGATGCCAATGGCGAACTATCTCACTAATCCCAACCCCGACTCTATGATGGACGAACTGATCAAATCTCACTAATTTTTACATCGTTCTTGCCCAGGTTCCCACACGCAAAATCAACGGTCAAGTATTTCCGTACTACAAAGTGGTCATGGACAATGGCACTGCCTGTGATCTGCTTGGAAATAAACCCCGCACAACCAATGTAATTTACATGTGTGCACCGAGGTCTAGTAACGAGGTAAGACATTATGAAGCAAATTTGTCCATACTATGTTGACGTTTGAAAATTATTATTATTTTTTTTTTTTTTTTTTTTCGTTTGCTGTACAGTTAGATACATATTGGACATATGAGCTCTGTCATGGAAGACATGTGAAACAGTTCCACGAGCTTAAAGCTGGTGTACAGGTTTGTAAGATCTATTTTTCTGATATACCTTAAACATTTCTCTTAGTTTGAGTTGACATTCTTTGTAATTATTGTTAAAATAGAAGTCACTAAACTTTTGAAATCATGAAATTAAAATCATTTGTCATTTCTGCCATTAAATAACATGAAATTATGATGGACTTCATTTTGAGATTCTAAGGAGTAATGTAACCTGCTGAAAAATTTGTCTTCAAGTGTGCCAAAAACTTTGACTACTGTCATTTGAATTTTGCGTAGCAGTCTGTTTTCTCATCTATAAAGCAACAAACTGCTTTCTATTTTTCCATCTCCAAGCAATCTGTTCCAACCGACAGACAGGAGTCACCCAAATGGCATCCTTGCTTCAAATGGTGATTTTTTTTTTCAATGACCAGACTGATATCATTCCTATCATTTTTGGTTTAAGGTTGGTTAGGCCAGGTTACTAAGTTGATTTCANATACCTGATGCCAATGGCGAACTATCTCACTAATCCCAACCCCGACTCTATGATGGACGAACTGATCAAATCTCACTAATTTTTACATCGTTCTTGCCCAGGTTCCCACACGCAAAATCAACGGTCAAGTATTTCCGTACTACAAAGTGGTCATGGACAATGGCACTGCCTGTGATCTGCTTGGAAATAAACCCCGCACAACCAATGTAATTTACATGTGTGCACCGAGGTCTAGTAACGAGGTAAGACATTATGAAGCAAATTTGTCCATACTATGTTGACGTTTGAAAATTATTATTATTTTTTTTTTTTATTTTTTTATTTTTTTAATGTTTTAATGTTGCGCTTCTTCTTATTACTATCGTCACGATTATTTTTACATTGGATGAAAATAAGTTGAGATTATACATTACAGCGCATGTTACTGAATGAGAACGAAGAAAAGTACCATAAGGGGCCAATGATAGTACATTGATAAACTCACAAACTGATTGCCTGAAGCGGTGGAAAAACGCCGGTGATCAAGTTGCGGCTACTTGTAAATTTATTTGCATATGATTGGCCGAGAGAATGACGCGAGTTGTTTATGCCAATCACAGGCCAAAGTGACGCCGAATAAACAAAGTAGTCCCGGATGACTTTCGACGCTTACTCGAAAACTAATGTGATATGGTTTTCTTAGTTCGGCATTCTTGCAATTTAGAAATAGCTTGGGTTGAACGCTGAAAATCACCGTAATTGTAGAACAAAATAAAGAAAGGAGAGGAAGAAATAGAAAGAAGAAAAAAACAGACAGCTAGAGGTTCTCTGTTTTAGTTCTAAGAACTTGTTCTTTTTTTTAACTTTATTAACAAATCAGGAATACAGTCTGTAATTTTAAAAGTTGTCACGTGAACGAATCGTCATGTTGATCTTATATATCAGCGCATTTTTTTCTGTTGGAACCAATAGCCCATTTCCCAGTAACCGTTAGTTACTATTTACAAGAATAGTCGAGCATTAGCCTCGTTTTGAAAAAGAGGCCAAAGGGAATTCGGAAATGGCCAATTACTTGATGCTTACTTGCTGTCCGATAGACCTAAGTGGCACTTCTTTTATTATATTCTTTGCTTATCGTAGATCATGGCACGGGGAGGTACACGTTGGGATCATTTTCCATATTTTATCTGTAATGTTTTCCCACGGCTTAGTAGCCTTGATTACTTTGCCATGACTGCATGCCCTCTTTAAAACAATTTGCAAATTTTGATCGATAAAGAATAAGGTTAAAAGAGAAAAACTGCCTCAAACAGTTACACAATTGCATTTAGTTTTGCAAAAATAACAGAATCTCTGAGTAGACGATTCTGTATCTGGCTCCATGTAGATTTTGCATTCGCCATTTTCAGTAGTCTTTTCTTGAACTTCCCATTCTGATGTTGTAGTCTCGCCTCCCTGAACTTCTATTTGCGTCCGTTTTGACTTTTCGTATTCCTCAGCAGAAACTCGAGGAGTTCGCACGGGGGTTGTTGTTTCAAAGGACGATAAATCCGTCTTCATAGCGCCGTAGAAGGAAATGTCGCAAAACCTCTGACCCCAAAGAATTTCATTTGGCAAGTAAGAAGTTTTGGCCTGGGTGACACTGCTTGTGGACTCCACAACGCCCTCTAAAACAGCGATGAATTCCATCTGGGAATTCACCAGCTCTTGACGCCCAATTTTGTACAGCGGACTTTGCTTGTCAATGACATGCACCACTGTCAGAGGTATTAGTAGAAATGGCTTGATGAGCTCGCCTTTCTCCTTTTCATGCTCGATGGAGATCGGAAGTTTTCTTTGAGACTTCAAAACTTCACGTCCATTTTCGTCGGTCCCAAAGCGAAAACAGTGAAGAGTGATTTTCACGTTTACCAATTGAGTCTTACGCACGTCTGCGACTCGAAACATTAATGACAAGTGGTCATTGTGTAACTTTACGATTGCGGTGTTTGAGAACATCACCGTTGGGGCCCTGGGTTTAGCGCTAGAGAGTTTTGCGAAAATAAAGCCAAGGAGTGACGTAGTTATAATGAAGCCAAAAAGAGACTGGGCAAGAAGACAGACCACGGCCTCAGGGCATTTTGGAGTTATCTGTGGTAAAACAGGAAAAGAACAAAAAAGAAGAAAAAATATTTGGCGGAAAGTTTTCGCGACTTTCGCGACTTCCTGGTTTTCTTTTAAAGGGTAAGGGGTCGTACAAAGGCTAGACTTTTTTGATTGCAAGGCAACACTGTATAGCTCAATATCTTGTTTCATATATTACGTAGGAACGAATTTTGTAAAGAGAATAGAACATCTCGTGGTAGAAGCGGTAGCCTCATAGTTGGTGCCCAGGACTCTGTATCGGAACCTGGGCTGGTTCGAGACCTGGGGCCCGTTTCTCGAAAGTCCCGGTTACTTTTAACAGGCCCAAAACCATGTTTTAAAATCGCATTTTAAAGGATAGGAAAGCAGGTTCTGGCACCCTAACATGCCTTTTTTGTTTCTTTAGCTGATAGTTTTATAGCATTATTTTCAAAGCTGTTCTGTTTTCATTCAAGATGGGGATTTCAAAAGTCTTAAAAATGATATAACAAAACTATCAGCTGAAGACACATAAAGGACTGGTTTGGGTGCCAGAACTTGCTTTCCAATCCTTTCAATTTTGATTCTAAAACATGGCTTCGGGCCCGTTAAGTTACCGGGACTTTCAATAAACGGGCCCCAGGTCTCGAACCCGCTTCAGCACGTTCCGATCCAGAGTCCTGTGCACCGGTTATGAGGCTAGGACTTTCGAGAAACGGGGCCCTGATCGGGTCATTGTGTCGTGTTCTTGGGCAAAACACTTTACTCCCACAATGCCTCTCTCTCACCCGGGAGTAAAAATAGTACGGAACCGTGATGAAATGCTGGGGGGAGGGGTTGAGAGGGGGTAACCGTGTTATGGACTATCATGTCATTCCGGGGAGAGCAATCCTAGTCGCTTCACACTACAGAAGCTAGGATAAACTCCGAATGGATGAGTCGCGTTGCTCGAGTAGAGACTGATATTGTGTATAACAATTTTGACTTGTGGATCTTTTCACGCTAAGAGACCTTTTTATGTTTTTTTTTTATGGGTTTTCGGCCAGTACTAGACGAAGGCGAGCAAAAATAAAAGCAATAGTGGAAAACTTTCGAAACTGAATCGGAAAATACTTTTTATCATTTGTAGTCCCATTTAATTTTTGATAGTTTCATAAGTGTTACTTTTAGTTTTTAGTTCAATTACCGCAAATCCACGTATCCGTGCACGAGGCGCTTATTTCAAATTCAATTGACGGGGTTGGCGTGTTCGGTGGAAGGCCATCACTTAATTTGTCCAAATCGTGGAAAGATATAATTTTTTTTTTTTGTTTTTCTTGTTTTTCATTTGTCTGAATGCAAAATATGGGCGTAAATAGTGCTATAAACTTTGTGTTTTTGTACAACGCTTGTTGTTAACACGTGATTGGAGGGGTGCTCCCATCTTTGTGCATGTCTCGCCCCTCGAGCTCGTCTCGCGCTTGCCTTCTCTCGCTTGAAAAATTGCTGAAACGATGAAGAAGAAGAAGAAAAAGAAGCGAAAAAAGCACCATACCTGTCGACCGCCATAACCAATAGTAGTCTGCGTTTCAATTGAGAATAAAAAAGCGGAGGTCCATGAATCAACATTTTCCACGCAAATGACCCCACTATCGAACTGAAACCGGAGCCAGAAGATCATATACCAGACTGTGCCAAAAAGCGCCCAGCTGGAGATGAAACCCATGAAGTACAACCCGATCGACCAACGCCAGTTGGCCTCGATAAGGGTCGTAAAAAAATCATTCAGGAAGCGCCCTTTTTTCTGAGGTACTCTGGAGGGCTGCAAAGTTACTTTGCCATTTTTTTGTACTAACCGCTTGACCTTTGTTGAGGAGAAATCTGAAAGGTGGTAGAAAAAGTTATTTTGATATTTAGGTATTGTATCTGGGGGGAATACTCGCCAAAGTCGCGCGTAGTCTGAATGCTTCTCTCTACGAAATGCTTCAAACCTCGTACTCTTTATACACGTCAACTTGCACGACTGAAAGCATTCATCATGAAATAGAAAAGAAAAGAAAGACCAAATGATAAAAAGTAGAACAAAGAAAATTTGCTTTTTTCCTAATCATTTTCCTCGGGCGTTCTCAGGAGGCCTCGCTTTTGTGTACTCTATTTATTACCCTTGGTTAGTGTCCAAACACATTAAAGTGGACTTTTCGCACTATTTCCTTTCACTTCCTCTCATACACGCTACATTACACTTGGTAAAGTGTTTTTCTTACCTTGAGAACTGAGATCAGGTGTATCCAATTTTCCTTTAGATATCGGTTTCATGATATACGCCATAACTGCAGAAAAAAAATTGTACTGTATTTGTATTAGCCCAGTATCGTTGTTTCAGAAATTTAAAATCTGAGAATGTTCTCTAAGAGAGTTTTGTTGACAATAAAACACACAAGGAAAGTTGTGCTTCTCTCCTGTGGGGAAATTAAGGAATCTTTTGAATAAACCCAATAATTACATATAGCAATTAAAACAGTTAAAACTGAAAAAGAACTTAAAGCATGACATTGTAAGCACAATTCCAGCATAAAATTAAAACGGAGGAGTAAGATTAGATCTAGGCCCCAGGCGTACACTTATAAATATATTTTGTTTTTTTTTTTCTCTTGAAGAGGTGCATTTCATTGTACTTGCGACAAAGTTAGTTTAGCAACACGATAAGAAAACACCCTCTGCAGGGTTTTCAACGAAATCCGGTTTCTTGCGGTCTACCGCTGTCCGTAGAGCCTGCGAGAAGGCTCTTGTGTTTGAGTTTCGCCTGACGGCCCCTTTTCCAGGCTCAGCCGCCTTTTACAGCATCGGAGAAGTTATTGAAATCCCTGCCGTTGGTGAGAATTTTCAAGCCAAATATCTTTCATCGAAAGTAGTTGGTTCATTGTTTTGCTCGGTCTAACGAGCATTTTTGCTTTGAACTCTGCCGAGAGTAGACCGACAATTGATACTCCTACCTTAAACACCCGTTCAGAAATTCGACCGGCCTCTTTAATCGAGAAGGCGACCACTTCACTTTGTTGACGATCTGTAACGAAAAATATTTGATCTTTTATGTGTAGGACTGCTGCTGCCTTGGAGAGAGGGTAAATCTGATTGATATAGTTGTTTCCAGCACGGTGGTGCTTTAAAAGCGTTCGTGAGCCGAAAGTGTAAGAAAGTTATTTTCCGCCGTAAAGTTATGTTGAATATGGAATTAGCTGGAATCGACGTGGTCGGAATTTTACTGTGAAGAACAGTGAAACGCGGAATGTGACGACAGACTTAAAATGCGTTTGTTCCCTAAGAAAGAGGTTCTCGTATAGGAAGAGCTAAGTTTTTTTTTTCTGTATATAGGGGAATCCTTGTTTACAATATTTGCCTAATTCTGTTTCTGATGGAGCTAAAAATAAATCAATTCTGAATATCGAAAGGTCAAAGTACGATTAATCGGCCAATGAATACGAGCCTGATGCATTGAATACTTTTTTGTGCTACACGGGTTTAAAAACTCAAAATTTTACATAGAATGTATGAGCTCATTAGCGCTTTTGCCACCCAGAAATCTTGCAGTTTTGATGGACTATTTCTCCTTGAATA